CCCCCCCCCCCCCCCCCCCCCCTTTTTTTTTTGGAAATAAAACGAGGGTGAAAAATTCCTGTCAAAGTTTATGAGGCAGCATATAATATAGAAAAGCAGATTTTTTAAATGTTACATGCAAGGTCTAGAGCATATCCTGCCTTGGCTAACTCAGTTGAACTAGAGCTCAGTTCAGCTCCCATTGTTCTTAACTGGGAAACTATGAATGGAAGCGGGACTGAAGTCCTACTGCAAATTAAGCAAAAAGGGTTCAGCCTCTACTCAGAAAGCAGCATGCACTTAGAGACCTTTCATTATGCAGAATCCAGGTTGTAAATATACACTGAAGGCTTTTAAGAGTGCATGATATTGAACTATTAAGTTGACAACTCAAAGCTGCTATAGTCTATTGTGTAAATATGTGCTCAGAGTCTTTTCAGTCTTTCTTCAGGACTCTCAGCATGTAGACAGAGTGCTTCAAAAACTCAGCATGAGATGACATTTCTGATTCTTCCATTTACAAAATTTCCTCAACAATGGCACTGTACCATTTGTGTTTTGGAACAAAGTCAATGATATGCACATTATCTGTGTGAGGAACGATGCTGTTACTGGATTACAGAAACAAGAAAACTGTCTGACATCCACACTGAAGGAGACAAAATTGACTATTGTTATGAGCAAAAAAAATAAACTCCAAACAAAGAGACTAGATATTTCTATTGGAAATGCAGACAACTCCTTTGATATATGGCAACAGTGCAAAATGGCACTATTCTTCCATATAGTTTATACTGTTGCTACCACAGCAGTTACATTACTAAGACAAAACTTAACATAAGAGCAGTTCAACAATGCATTCTCTCCCAGCCTCAGAAAGGCAAAATATTGACCAGACTGATTATGCTTTTAAGGGAAGAAAAATCACAAACTACACAGCATAATGCCCAACCACAGATTTTGAGCTCGTGTTTCTATTGTTGCCTAAAAGAGCAGGCTAAATTAATTGATTTTATTGGATAGCAGTGTTGAAGCATCAGCTAATAATAATAATACTAATAAAAGTAAAGTTAGCATTTATAGCAAGTGACAATCTAAAGGATAGACAAGGCACTTTCTATTGTGTGTTAAAGTTCATTCCTCACAAGAGGAATATGCTGGTTGACATTATTATTAGCACCAGAGCGACAGTACTAGAATGACAGTTTAATGTCGTGAGTGTGTATATGCATGTATGTGTATAGAGAGAGAGAAGGGACAGAAACAGAGAAAGTAAAATGTACCAGGGACCAAGACTCAAACATCTGTTTTTATGCCCACAATAATTTTAGGGGGAAAATGTAAAAATGAGGGTAAACAGTTTTTTGTCCATGCAGATGTTTTATTTTTCAATATTTTCCTCAATAAAGCAGCACACAACAGTATGTAAAATGAGATTTAACATAAGTCACATGTTTTTAATTTTGTTTCTCTGACAATTCTTTCAAAGTTAGCTATTTGGAAATATTTGATAAACAGTTTCTGGCATTTTCTGACAGTATGTTACAGGCAAGCTACAATTTGCCAAATATAAACCGAATTGGCTGCAGAAGCTGAATATAAAACAAACTAATGAATACAATTTCAAACCATTTCCAATCCAGGATCCCTAGTAAAATATCTAATCTCCATATACAAAAATAAAATAACCAGCAAAGACCTTGTTCATAGTAAGTCTCAGTGAGCTACAGATAAAGGTACATGCAACGTTTTTCAACATATCAGAAATCCATTTTGCAGTGTTAATAATCTTTTAGTGCCCCCTTCACATTTAATCAAAGCAATTTTTTTCCCCTAAAGTCTCTCTCTGATTTTGATCTTATCCTTATGCTGTTCACTCATGTGAATCAAGCACAAAATAGGAAGATATTGATACTACAAACACAGTATAATGACTCAAAATTAAGCCAGTGAATTAATGTTCACAGGGCTGGGGCCAAAAACAGATTATACTCAAGAGTACAAAAACATTGTTTAGCCATGTTGTATCAAATATCTCATCTGACACAATTCTGTTCAGATTTTAGACCCAGATTCTGCAGACAGTTCCCACTGACCTTTTCTCTATGTGGAGCAGTGCTTCTAATCAAAGCATTTACTGATTTGAATAACAGAATTAAACTATTTATGGTATGTTTAAAAGAAGTCTCCCTACCCCAACCCTTTTAATAAATTTCTAGATTTTTAGGAAAGTCTGTGCCCATGCAAGTGTGAAAACAACCACACCTGTTCCAGCTAACACTTTCCAGGCTTTCTCTCACAGCTCTGCAGATTTGCTTTTACAGTGACCCAGGTAACAACCCTCCACATTCCTGAGCCTCTTTTGGAAAGCACTCAATCAAGATAAACTTTTTAAATACCAAGAAGCATCCATAATATTTCAGTTGAGACCAGAAAACTAATTTAATTGGAGACCTCAACTAAACACGAGCCTTGGATTCCAGAATAAGAAGGTGAATGCATTAAACAGAATCTATATTAAAAAAAAAGGGGGGGTGACATTTATTTGAAGCTTGGTTTGTCTGATAATACTAGTAACCATTTAACCATAGAAAAAGCAGTCTTATAAAAAAAGAAGACAACTGTCAAAAGAGCATTTTATTTGCCTTCCCTTCCTAGAAATACGATAGTTCTTAATATGCATGCACTGTGTGTTTTAATGGCAGATCATGATGCTTTTTGGAACATATTTTCTAAGCTTTAGATTTAATCTGTGAATTATTTTTAAAGAGAATCATAATGACTGATGTAAATCTGAGAAGGAACACAGCTTCCAAATTTCTGCCTTTGCTAGCTGTTGTCTTACAGCAACATCTAGTGGTACACTGTTTTTGCATTTCAGTTAAAGTTCTAGAATGATGCAAACAATGCCAGAAGAGTTATTTTGATTAAAAATCTGCATATGCACCCCCAAAAATGGAAGGAGACACATACCCATTTATTTTGAAGAATGATTCACACACTTTTATGTTTTAGTCTTCATATTTGAATGTTGAAGCTTCAACACACCCTGAGCCTCTGCATTCCTGCTAAATATACCGGGAGTGTATCTATCTCAACCCTATGTGAAAACAACATCCTTGCTTAGAATTCTAAGGATTTTATGTTACCTAGCCAAAAAAAATTCCTTCCTTGCAGTAGGATTCCCATTAGTATTATTCCATGCATTCAAAGGGAAAACACACACGTAACGCTTCTTTTTCTACCCCAGCACCCTCACTCACTCCTGTAATTTCATTGATTCCAGTGGGATTCTGCATTTCACAGAATTTGACTCTTTATTTGTTCTCCAACTACTAAGGCAAAATCCAAAGCAGCTTTG